TTTATGGAGTTTAAACACCGTCTCACCTCTGCCCTTGTGTTGATCCTTCTGGACGATGATGGAAGATTCTAAGTTTACTGTGATGCATCTCATATTGGTTTGAGGTGTGTCATGATGCAGCATGGCAGAGTAGTCGCCTTTGGATCCCGATAGCTCAAATTCTATGAGCAGAACTACCTTATCCACGACTTGGAGCTGGCAACCATTATTTTCGCCCTGAAATTATGGTGTCATTACCTGTATGGTTAGACTTTTGAAATCTACACTGACCATAAGAGTCTCAAATATATCTTTTCACAATGGGAGTTAAACATGAGACAGAGATATTGGATGGATCTTTTGAAAGATTATGATTGTCAGATCATTTATCACCTCGGAAAAGGAAATATAGTCATCGATGCCCTAAGTCGGCGAGAGTCTGTTGTGCTAGCCTAAACCATGGCCTCCAGTTGGAAGATGATAGACACCGTGCAATCATTCCGCCTTAGCTATTATGGCAAGGGCACCTACCTCATCCAGATTTGAGCCCTATTAGATCTTTTTATAAAAATCTAGGAAGTACAGGCCACAGACCCGGAACTCATCAAGAGCCTGGGTAAGTTTACTTTGGATGAATCTCTTGATTTCAAGATCTCTGATAATGGATTATTCAGATTTTGGAACCGAATTTGGGTCCCCAATGTAGTACGTATAAATGTACTCAAGACCGCCTATGCTTCCAAGTTATCCATCCATCTTGGGAGTACTAAGATGTACCGGAACTTGAAGCAACAATATTAGTAGCCAGAAATGAAGAAGGATATAGTCGACTACATCTCCTGATGCCTTACTTGTCAATGGATAAAGGCAGAACATTAGAGACCCGGTAGATTACTACACGGTCTTTTGATTCCTGAAGAGAAATGGGAGCACGTGACTATGAATTTTGTCACTAGATTGTCCAGGACCTATTCTAGTCTAAATGTCATTTGGGTCATTGTGGATAGGCTAATCAAGACTATCCATTTCCTGCCTATTCGAACCACGGACTCCACCAGTAAGTTAGCTCGCCTATATGTGGATAATATTGTTCGACTCCATGGAGTTCCCTCATCCATTGTATCTGACCACGAACCCCGGTTCACCTCTCACTTTTGGGACAACTTCCAAGAAGCCTTGGGGTATAGGTTGTACTTCAACACTGCTTATCATTCCCAGATGGATGGTCAGTCTGAGCGTATGACCCAAACATTAGAAGACATGTTACATGCTTTCTTTCTCGACTTTGGTGATAACTAGTATGAGCATCTTCGTCTTTGTGAATTCGCTTATAATAATAATTACCATTCCAGCATCGATATGGCCCTGTATAAAGCTTTGTATGGAAGGCCTTGTCATTCCCCTACTTACTGGAGTGAAGTCGGGAACCAGCACTACTTAGGACCAGACCTCATTCAAGAAACCATTAAGAAAGTCACAATCATCCGCAAGAATTTGGTAACTACCCAGAGCTACCCAAAGAGCTACGCTGATAATCGTAGGCGACCCTTGGAGTTTTTTGTAAGAGATCAAGTCTTCTTAAAAGTCTGTCCCTACAAATGCAAGATGCAATTTAGAAAAAGAGGAAAGTTGAGCCCTCGATATGTTGGACATTTTTTTATCATCGAGCACATTGGATCTGTGGCTTACCACCTCATCCTATTTAAGGAATTCGTGGGTTTATATGATGTCTTTTATGTCTCGATACTCAATAAGTACCACCCTGATCCTTCTCATGTTATTCTTCGTGATGAGGTACAGATACAAGCTGATATGTCCTGTGATGAGGTTCCTGTACAAATTCTCGGGTGGACTGATAAGCTCTTACGTAACAGACGATTCTTATGGTGAAGATATGATGGCAGCATCACACCCCAGAAAAATCTAGGGGGGAATTAGAGGATGAAATGCGAAAGATGTATCCAGCCTTATTCGAGACAAATTTGAGGACCAAATTTTTTTAGGTGGGAGGGATCTAACACTCCACCCATCACTGTGCTAAAATGATTTGAAAACTCTATTAATTCGGGCCTTTGGCCGCCCTAAATTTAAATTAATTTACATCATTCTCGATATCCGTGATTTTAATCTATTTTTATTTTTATTTTTATTTATTTTATTAATTTTACTATTATTTTGTTTTATTTTAAAAGAAAAAAATTATAAAAAATTAGAAAATAGCGAAGCGGGAGAAAACTGGCTCGCAGAGAAAAATGCCACGAAAAAACAGGTTTGCCCGCGTGGGTGCTGGGCACTATGCACACACGCATGTGAACATAGTGGCCGCGGGGCATGCGCACAGTGCGCACATCCCATCCGCACACCAACGCGCACGTCCCTTTACATGCACGCACGCACGTCAGTGGGCACATCCCATCCGTGCACACTGTGCGCGCGTCATGTCGAGCACCGGTGGGCTGTCCGCGTATCACTTCACGCACGAACTGTTGCTGCACACTGTGCGCGCGCCATCCGTGCTGCAGACTTGCGCATACAGCCCCTGTGCGCTTAGGATCTGCACGCAGGCTAGCCCCTGCGTGCGCAGCAGCAAGCCTGTGCGCCTGCAGCGCGCCGGTCGGGCTCTGCCACCTCTGTCAGAGCTCCACCGCTACCTTGGGCGGCACGGTGCCGCCGTCGATGGAGGAAATTTTTCTCCCTCGTTTTTTGTGCCAAGAATCTTTTTCTTCTCTCTCTCCATCAAATTTCGCCACTTTGCATGAATCCAACAATTCTGAAATTCTATAAATTGCATTTTCTATTCCCTTCCTCTCCATACTTCTATTTTTTTTATTTTTCAAAGATTTAGAGAGAGAGAGAGATCGTAAAATAGTGACAGAAGAAGAAAAAGAAAAAAAAACAATGAAGGAGAAAACATCGAGGTTTTGGTAAAGAATGTAGTATTACTTTCGACGTTCTAAGGAGTATGTTTAGATAAACAAATTTAATATGATAGTTATTTTGTCTGTTTTGCATACCTATGTATTCAAATAAGTCGAATTGTCTGATTTTCAAGCATATTGCATGAATTACTGACACTTGGTGAATTTACATGTGATAAAATATAATATGTAGCTGTGATAATAAAAAGATAAAATAAACGAAAAAGAAAAAGAGAAAAGTGTAATGAAGCCTGTATGGTCCGAAGTGTATGTGTATTAACATGCATATTGCATCAAGTGTCTCGATAGGTTTACTATCTTTGAGGGGTATTCGAGTTATCTGTTTTTTCCTCTCCTTTCTAGTCTAGAAAGATGTAAGAGGATCGCTCCTAGTGGATGACGGCGTACCTTCTAACGAGAGTGGTATCACACTATCTGTAAGAGTCACCCGTTGCTAAGTAAAGTTGTGACTATAGATTATCTATTAGGACCACTACGGGAGGTACGGCCGTAGTCACAGATAGTACCATGATTTGGTTAGCCAGAAGTGGGCATAAACAAATTTCCGTATATGTATCAGGTATGGTCATTTCACTTGGATAGTTAGAAATTAGTATCTATATCTGCTTTTAGAGATGGAAGTTTATAACAAATTCACGAAGCATGACAAGAAAAATATGAGAATTTCATAATTT